GGCTGCAGTGTGTGGGAGCCTGCCAAATAGCATATCTCTGAATGTCTTAATTAATTGCTAGCTAGAGTCTGTGATGAGATCTTGTCCAGAAGGCATTGTATTAAAAGTGCAAACTGTTATTAGAGTGAAGAGTAAGACTGTTCCTGCCAAGGCAACATTTCCAAAGGAATAGAGCCTCTGGAGTGAACTGCCAAACAGCACAACTGTACTGCAAACAGAAAACCATCTGAAGTTTGGGGAGCCCAGGGGTATGGTTCTTATATATTGATCTGAGGAAGCCATTCCATCTCTTACTTACAGAGGTAATGAAACAGCACAGGGAAACCAATAGATGTGTATCGGTTATGTGTGTAACTTCATTGGTTAACCAAAATCTGATGCCTAGCTACATTGTTCTTTTGAACATAATAATGCAGTGATGGACATTGGCTTAGTTTTGTACAGTTTGTTTCTCAATAAATATCCCAGTATTTTCTCAGTGTTGCCAGTAGCATTGTGTCTTTTTCTGCAAGGACCATACACCAAAGCATACAGAATTCATAAATGAATTTTTAGCACCACTCATAGTATACCTTGTTAAACACTTTTGCAGGATTGGATCATTTGCCTATGTTCTCAGCCTCTTGAAAACAGTTGCTTGGCTTATATTGTTGCAGTTTAAACTTGGGAGTAAAAAATTGTCTGTATAACTGTTATTCATAATAGAATGAAGCAATTGGAATGAACCGATCAAAATGGAAACCAGAATAAAAACTACTGACCTAGAATTGTGTTAATTACATCAGAGATATGTGACATTTCCTAAGTGTTCAGACCTTTGAAAGGGTAGAGTGATACACAGGGGCTGTTCCTAATGTGGGACTGTAGTAAAAGGTCAGCTGTCAAAAACAGACGAGGATGCAGACATGTCTAGTTGTGTGCTGCCTGTGTATTTACCAGTCCTGAAGGCATAAGGACTGGGTCACTGCAGCACACCATAAATCTTTGGAACAAGGGGCAGGGTTTTAGTTTGTGCAATCCTCTGAGTAAGGAGTATGGAGAAGTCTGGCTTGTTTCTTACGTGATACTTCAATTGCAAACTCTTTGGATCAAAGTCTACCTGCATTATTTATTTGTACAGTCTCACCCAGTGGAGACTTGCTTTTATGGATCTTCCATGCGTGCTTTGCAATATAAAATAATTAAATCAGTGATGATTGCTTATTTTCTCTTTCAGTGACTAAAAATGAAAACAAATGAGCCAAGTTCATTTGTTGCTTAGCTCTTATCTCATATGCATTCTCCTGATACCTCACCACAAATGGTATTGCACTGAGAGCTAAGATAGAAGAAATGCTCTTTTCTTTTTGTGATCCAAAACACCTGGCGTAACTTTTCCATGGTTGAGATATTTTATAAATTGAGCTCCCGCAGAAGAGTTCTTAGCACAGGAAAAGCAATTCAGATTCACAATCATGTGGCATTATTTCTTTACAGTCTTTTATTTGGTAAAGTTTCCTCCTTCATAGTGGTCACCTTAGAGAGCCAGAAGCACAGACAATCTTATTACAAGCAAATTGCCCTAATCAGTTTGAGAACAATATTCAGCTAAGCAGCTATTTCCTTTTCACTAACAAATTTTGCTATTTCTTGTGGATACTGAGGGTTATTACTATAGAATAAACAATGTAATTTTTAATAGTATCTGGCAACAGCACAATTACATTATGGTGTGGCTACAGTAGTATCTCACGTCACGATTTCTTCAACGTCAGTAAATACAGGAGGTTCACACTGACCCATCATCTTCAACCTACAGCCATAGAACAATCTCTTTCAGTTGTGAAGATTCACTTCTTCGGGGGTCTTGCCCTCAAATGAATCTGCGAAATTATCTAGATTTTTTATTTTCTGAGCCAGATGTTTTCACAGATCTGTAATAATTGTAACACAGGACTGCATTCTCACAAAGCCCAAAATATGTTCCTTCACTTCTAGTCCTTAATTGTAGCATTTTCTGCAATCCCGCTTTTAAAATTTCAGGCTTTGTAACCACCTGTCTCCTGTTTAGTACCCAGTTCTTGTGTGTTGCTGATGGATCCTCTACATACTCTGGATTGCCCGCTCACCCTGCTCTGCCAGGTCACAATGAGCTGGTTGCCCACACATGCATGTGAGCTTCTGTGAATTACTGCCTTGACTTTCAGATATTTGACTGAAAGTTGTTTCATTAATAGTTGTGTGGGAACCATACAGTACACATCCTTGCTTATACCTTCTTTAATTCCTTAGTTGTAAAAAATAGAGAGGCAACACAACCCCACAATTTAATAGTAACTGTATTTTATACTTCATATAACATTTTCCATCTTTAAGAAAGATAATGGGAATCATAATACATATTTTGCAAGCACAAAACTGAGGCACTAAAGATGAAGTGAGTTGTGTGTATTCACATAAAATCAGTGGAAGCTAAGAATATGGCTTTTGTCTTCTGACTGCAAGGCTGTTGAAAAGTACACAAAAATCTGTCTGTCTAGCAAGTCCTTAGGTGGGACTCAGTGCAAATCAGTGAACCGAGTGTGTGAAACAACCTGCTGTCCTTTGGAATCTCTAACGTAATTACCAATAATCCCTGTTGCACTGACTGAAATAAGTTCATTCTAAGCCAATCCTGTGTGACAATCTCAGTGCCGGTCTTCATTTTGCTTAGCATCTTGTACTGTTTTGCCAGTTCTGCATTAAAACCTTGGTTTTCATAGGCTAATATAGGATAATAGCAATCTGTTCAGGAGTGACACTGCTATGTAGCATCCCAGTTAAACAGTGAACACCATTAAAAATATGCACAACACATTCTGGATCTCCAAGTGCTCATTTAAACCCTAGATTTACTCTAATCAAGGCAGCTTATTTGTCCTGGTACAGAACAAGCTCTTGGATAATTCATAGTTTATGGATTCACATTGCGTCCAAATTTTTCTTACTTGTATGGCATACGGTGCTGCTGTGTCTTCAGTACAATTCACTTTATATCACATTGCCCAGAGTCACGATGAACATACAGATGTAAATGAAATTACAATAAGTTGGTCCCTTGTTACTGTGTATGTGGTCTCCAGTTTAAGATGGGTAGAACACTACTCAGACCCTTTTATTTATTTATTTATTAACTTCTGAAGACACAGTAACTATCCTGTTCGTGGCTGGTGACTAAAGCACTCCTTGGGATATTGTACTTGCTGGATCAGCTTTAAATACTGTTGGTTCAATGTGTTGCAGGGTAGAACAGAAAACCTACCATCTTAGGTATGGCAAAAAGTTTTAGTTAACTAAAAAGCTTTATTAGTTAACCTTTGCTAATTTGTTTTGACTGAAGCAATCTACAGAGTATTCCTACAAGCAATTCAGCTGGTATATCCAAAAGGTGGGTAATCTTAGCAACCCTTACTTCCAAGCAGCTGAGGCCAATGGTCGTTCATCTGGCACAGCTGTAGCTGGATGAAGCTGCATGCCCTCTATCAAGATAGGCAAGGCAAAACAAAAAAATCCAAACTGGGTTAATTTCTTCTCCAGCCTCTGAGATTGCAAATACCTGCTACCTACTCAAGTTAGAAGGCTTACTTGTGCTTTGTAAAACACCCATGATGCATGCCTGACCTCAGAAGTACAGTTGCAGGGCAACAAGAAAGGGGAAAAAAAAACAACTGATTTTTCTTTCTTTGCTAAAGCCAAGACCAAAAGACTTTATATTGCAACACTGCAAGTCAAAATGCTGTGAATTGCATCAAGTTTTTATCGTGCTGAAGATTCTCAGTTAAAATTCTTCTTCCTAAAATGCCCACAGATAAGGGAAAAGCATTTAGAGGGGATGACTGCTTCTGCTCCATCTCCATGTCATGGTGAGGCCTCTCTCTGGGCATGTCCCCCTGCTGCCTTTAAAAGTCAGGACCCCTGCCTCACTGCAGGGCACATGAAGGTGGTGCAGAATGGAGGACACCTTTGGCTATGGATTTCCTGCAGACCTCCTTCCTTATTACCAACTGTGAGTATTTACTGCGGGAATTCAAAAGCAATTTATGAGGCTTAGGTGTTACCTTGTGCTTGCACAGGGAGAGTAGCAGCTCTTGTTATTGCTGTGGGGGCTTAAAGCCCACGTACTTTCCTTTTTATGTGCTTTTGGCCCTCCTCTTCCATGAGAAAGGGGATACTGTAATAATTCATCTTTCCTCTGAGAGAAACAGTGGGAAGCACAGGCGTGCTGCTGCCTTCATGCGTCCTCCATCCTCTTCCCAACCCGGAGAGCTAGGAAATCCAATCGCGGCTCTGGAGAGGATTCACCCTGCGGCCTCACGGTGCCCATCCTTTTCTCTCCCCACTTCCTCCTCTCTAAAAGCTCAAAGTCATTCCAACCATCTCTTCAGGGAGGAAAAAACCAAACCAAAACAAAAAAAAAAAAAACCCACTGCAAAGCTGGGGCAGTCCCGGTGCACCCCGCTGCCTGAGGTAAGCGCTGCTGGCCGGTGCTGCCCTCAACCGAGAGCTGCCGCCGGTGCCCTCGCCGCCCTATCAGACCTCTCGGTATCCGCGCACGGCTCCAGGCGCAGAGCGGGAAGGGCCGGGAGGGGAGGGGCCGCTGGCTGCCTCCGTGGCAGAGCTGCGCGGCACGGCAGGGAAATACGTTGGTCACTGCCAGCGAGAAGGAGCCTTTCGCGGCAATACGGTAACGTGAGGGCGGGGCGGGTCCCGTCTCGTCGGCAGCTCTACGGTCCCGGATGCGGCCGCGCCGGGAGAGGGCGCTCTCCCTCTCTATGGTGTCTCTCCGAGGGGCGGGCCCCGCGCCTGCGCGAGGCGGGCTCGCTGCCCCCCCGCCGAGGCCGCGGTCCCGGGCGCAGAGAGGCGGCTGTCAGCGATCGCGGCGCCGCCGGTGCTGAGGAGCGCGCCTCGCCCCGCCCCCCTCGGCCTCCGCCGCGCCGCGGGGGGGCTGCGCCGCCGGCACCTGCGGGGCTCCGCGGCGGCAAATGGTGGGGCCGGACGATGGCGGAGCTCCGGGCGGTGCGGCCGTGCTTCCCGCGGGCCGGCAGGAGGCGGCGGCGGAGGAGGAGGCGGAGGAGGAGGACGGGGAGCGGGATGGGAGCCGGGGCCTGAGCCGCGGGAGCGGCGTGCCGGCGGCGGGGCGGGAGCGGCTGCTGCAGCGGTACCTGGCGGCGCTGGGCCCGGCGGCGGGCGGGCGGCGCTGCCCCGAGAAGGCCGCCAACGGGGCCGCCTGCGCCGTGGGGCCCCGCGGGAGGATGACCAACGGGGACGCCGGCTTCCTGCTGCCGGGCGGGCCGCCGCCTCGGGAGGAGGGCGAGGAAGAGGAAGCGAAGCTGCACAACGGGGGCTTCCTCCTCTGCCCGCCTGGCCCGGGGGGCGGCACCGCCGCGGGCGCGGCGTTGGAGGAGCCGCTGCGGAGCTGCTGCCTGCGGGGCGAGGCGGGAGGCAGCCCCCCCAGCGGCCCCGCCGCCCCCGCCTTCACGGACGTGAGTCTGAACTCTCGCAACACGTACGAAGTAAGCCGCCGCCGCAGTGCCCCGGAGCACCTGCCTCCCGCCCCGGAGCCGCCGCAGGAACCGGCCGAGAGGGCACGGCGGGCGGGCATCGCCGGTGCCGGGAGCAGCTTGGCCGAGTTCTTCACCAGGTACGGATGGGAGGGCCGCCCTGGGCCGCCTCCGGTCCTTGGGCCGCGGCTCTGCCCCGTGTGTGGGGCTCGGAGGTAAAAGTGCTGTCACCGCTACGGAGCCGGTGCGCTTACGTGTGAGCCCGCTGTGTGCACCCGAGCGCTGTGCTGTCTGGAGGAACCCAGGGGTGCTGGTGATTAAACTGATGGTAAATAAGGCGAAATTCTCCCTGTAGAAGCTCTTGGTCGTGCCGTGCAGGAGGTGCGTCCTGGCTGTAATAATTTACAGCACTCTCTGTTGGACTTGTCCTTAAAGATGGGAGTTAACATTTGCTGGTTTCTGTTCTTTTGCTCTCCAAACCCCGGGACTTCATTTGTTGTGTTATAGTTGCTCTGGTAGCACAGAGGGTTGTTAGAAGGCAGAATAAGATTAAATTTACTAACTGAAAAGGGTTGATGTGGAAAGGCAGTGATTAGGAAGGCATGATCCCAAACAGAAATGGGCCTCTTTTGCCTGCCATTGCAAAAGGGAGGAGGTGGGCTCAGGACTGAGCGTAGTGGTGTGAGCACAGCTGTTATGCCTCTGCTTTGTGCCAAGCACGGACTGTGAGTTGGTCCCCTGTTCCCACTGTTTCCTGTGGGTGTTTTTCCCCCTGTCCCCTTTTTTCCCTACTTTCTGTGCACTGCAGTACATTGCCTTCCCTTTGCTTCCTTGTTGCTTTTTGCTCCAGAGCTTTTGGAGAACTTTGGCTCCTAGAAAAGCCAGGACTTGGCGTGCCGTGGAAGTCGTTGTCAGCAGACAGGGACACTTTCAGTTTTCAGTGTAATATCTGGAAAAACTTAATTGCATCTGTTGTGGCAGAAGCCAGAGTAGTGACACTGTGGTGAAGGATGAGTTTGCAGGATACTGTTTCATAGTCTCTTGCTGGCCCCGCTGGCTGTGCCGGGTGAGCAGTGCTGGCCTCAGGGACTGCCAAGCTCTGTGTATGTGTTGGTGAAAGTGTTGTACAGCACTGGGCAGCCACAATGAGATTCGTTAATGAAGTCCGGTTCTAGGTTTTTCTTTTTTTTCTTACTAGTTGTTTTTTGTTTTTTTTTTTAAAGCCCAAGCTTCTCATACTTGATGCTCTTGTGTGCAAAATAGCATGAGTTTGTGTTCTTGATTGCTTAGAAAAGTAGTAATAAAGGAGGCAGTCAATTCTTCTGACCTACTTCTGATGTTTTAAAAGCCTGGACTTCTCACTTTCTTAAAGTGCTTGGGTTTGTTCAAAACCAATGGTTGCCATTGTGAGTGGGTTTTTCTCCAGTTCTTCACAAAGAGAACTTTGCCTTGACTCTCAGCAATAGGGACTGCATTTATTGGAAATCACTCTATGATTGAATGCCCACCTCTTGTAGACCTTCCCCCACAGGTGATTGCTGAATGTTTAAATCATCAGGGAGTGGTAAATGGTGTTGTTCTCCTGAACTTTAGATTGTGCTGTGTGGAAGCATCCTGTGAAGAGTCTTTGTTAGCGAGCTGCCCTCTTAATGCTTTGTCAGGACACAAACATTTTTCTCAGCATTGGAGGAAATGTGTGGGCTGTGCTAAATGCAGGTGTGTCTTGTATAGGATGCTTCACGCTTGTAATGCTCTTTGTCTAGTTTACAAGCTGTCTGAAATTCAATAGCTCTTATGTTTTCCCAATAACTGTAATTATATGGCCCTTTCTTTTAAAAGGTGGACCTTTCTTGCTGCTATTTGGTTAAGAACTGTGTGAAAGTGAGGAGCAAGTCTGTATGAAAGCTCTGTGTTGTAACTGCCTGACCAGATGAATTCCCTCGCCATGGCAGATCTGGGTTAGGAGGCCGCTCTCTCCAGCTGCTTATTTCAGTCTCCTTAGCTATCAGCCTGGCCTGCTCTGTAGCTTGCTGAAATGATCCACGTTCTGTCTTTGTGTCACTGAACTGGAGGAGAAGCTGCTGAGGGGAGGCAGGGGGAAGAGAGCAGCTGTGCAAAATGCTCCTTGTGTGGTTCTGCTGCAGGGAGAGTGCCTGTGCCCTCCAGGTGGAGGGAAACTTTCCCATTATCTCAGAAAAATTATTACTGACAGGGCTTGCAGATATTTTTCAGTGAGCGTGGAGTGTAGTATTTCACCCTGGGTTCTTATCTTGTATGCATGCCAAATTGCTAATCCTATCAACTCAATGCTAACAGCTTTTTAATGGAAAATAACAGTTTTTGCTGCCTTTTTATTCTACTTCTCTGTTTCCCTCAGTGTATGAAGTGGGATGCCTCTCATGTGGGGTGTATGGAGGAGAGAGCAAAGCCCCTCATCTCCGCTGTGCTGCTGCCACGGTTGGGTGCCTTCTGGAGAGTCAGCTCTTGCTCTGTTGTACTCCTGCATAGGGTTCGTAGCACAGCTGTGTGTAGGCACTGTTCAGAGCTCTGTGGTCTTGCATAGCAGCTTACAAGTGCAGTGTTCTCTTCTTAGGTTATTCAGCTGATTTGTAGATGGTCCCAGTGGCTTACTGTTGACCACAGAATAATTCAGTGAGCAAGGGCATTAAATGGACAGTAGAATTAAGGCAGGGGTGATTACCATGGCTGCAGATCCTGCACCTCTTTTAAAGGTGATTTTACTTCATTTTTCACACGTATCTTGTCAGGCATTTTCTCAACTCTTGCAGCTATTGTTCCTTCCTGAACTGCATTGATAAGTGCAGGTACCTGGTAGCTGACAATTCCTGATTGCTTTCTGAGCCTTGGGTTCAAAGCTTAATGTTGACAACAGCAGTGGTACGTCCTTTGTTGTTGTAAAGCACCATTTTCCCAAATGCTTGTTTTCCAGAATTAATCTAACAAGCTTTTCTTTTTCTGATAAGATCACAAAGAACTCAAATTGTAATTACCACTGCTGGTAGGTCTTCAGAATTTGCTGTGAGCAACAGTGCAGTAGGGTTGCAAAAGCATGTATGGTGTTGGCATACATGTGCTTATGGAAACTGCCTTAGCCTCATCCTTCCTCACTCAGAACTGCTGCACTTACTGCCCAGCAGTCTTGAGAAATCTTCACTCTTGAAGGTGGTAAAAAGCTGAATGGAGTTGATGTTTGTAGGAACAAAGAACGAGAAACTGCTCAAGCCCACATTTTGTAAATGCAGTTCTGTGATTCATTCAGTAGGTAGTTCTTCACAAGCTGCTAATCTTCTTGCTTGGGAAAATGACCTTGACAGAGACTGTAGAGTCTGCAAAACAGTTCTCTGAGCAGTGCTGCTCGTGTACTGCAGACTGTAGGTTACTTTCCATTTGTTATGGAGTAGCGCTTCAAGCTCTTTGAGCTGTCTTACACACCTCGTGTACGGTTGCATCTTGTGAATATAGAATTGATAGTTCTGTGTGTATGCAGAGCTTTTCTGGTTCATAAATGGCTAAGAATTTCCAGGGAAGGAACTGCCCATCTGTTTTGGGGGTTTGGGTCCAAAAAGAATTGAGTGTGAACTGTCCTTGCTGCCACAGATCTTCCGACCCTTCTGTGCGTGCCAAGGTCAGAAAGCTGATCGATGGGATTTTGCAGGATTTAATCTATATTCATGTATTTCCTTTACCTTCTTGTTGACGTCCTGAAAGACTTGTGTTTTCTTTTTTTGTCCAGACCTGGGGGATAGAGGTGAGAGAAAGGGAATGGGGATTGCAGAGCTTCTAATAGGTCAAGGAAATATGGTGACATTGGTTTCGGAAAGAGGAATGTCAAAGAAGGGTTCAGGGACTGAAACAAAGCTTGCCCTCAGAAATTGTGCGGGCACTTCTCACCTTTCTGTTTCTGTCAGACCAAGTTTTTTGTTTGTTGTAGTTGTTACTGTTTTGTTACTGAAGTGATCAGCAGATGCTTACAACTGTTGAGAATTCCAGCTGCCTGGAGTAAGTGGAAAAGAGCACCTGAACCCAAAACTTCAAAGAATCGCTTCAGCCACTGTTCTTTTTCCCTGAGTTAGAGGCACATTCAGTTTCTTAGAAATAAGAAAAAGCATTCATATGATCAAAATGTAAGCTTTTCCATAGGTTCTTCCCACACGGTTCACTAAGAACAATTTATTTGTTGAAGTTGCGTTGACATGGTGGCCAGTTTCTGGCTTTCAGTCATATGAATGACAGATATTGGCAACTTAAGGAAGTGCAGTCTCCAAAGTAAGACAAACAGTAGTAAATGCTTCAGCTTCAAACTCTGCTAATAACTGCACACATAGAAAACTTTACCAGAATTGTATGATTTTCTTACTGCACGTATAAAGGCTCTCCACAAGTGTTCTGCTGTAGCAAAGTTATTGAAGTGGCAGCAGCTTTGTTCTTATGAGTGAACTCATTCTGAGCAGCTTAAGAAAACTAGCAAGCTCTCAAGGTCTGGTAGCTGAAAATAGCTGTTAGACAAAGTTTCACTCCTAGCCCTTGTGTTATATAGTTTTTAAAGGATGTTTTGTCTCTTGCTATTTGCTCTTCAGCTGGGAAGAGTTTTTTCTTTTTTGGGTGATAGTGCTTTAAGCTTTCTTCGGGTCTTGATGGCTCTGTGCTTCTCAGCCTCTTTATTATTGCTTCCTAAGGAAGTGAGACTGCTTCATACTGCTTCATGCTGCATCCTGATAGCCAGGTTTGTCGCAATTCTCTGAGACACAGTGGGCTCTTATATGAAGATACTGCGGGTTTTTGAGTGAAGGCTGGGTGGAAGGAGAAAGCCTGCTGCTGGTTGGCACTGTGTTGGCGGCAGCTGTGCAGAGCGCAGTGCTTCTGGCCCCACACTGGGATGGCAGTGTGAATGGTGGGTGTGTGCTCTGTGGGTGGACTTCTGACTTCAGCGAGGGGAAAACTCATACCTGAATTTTTCAGGTATGAGTATTTTTTCATACTGAGAATAACACCTGTAGCCTGTGGGAGGAAGCTCTTGGCAGTTTTTTCAGACAGGCTTGCTGCTGCTGCCCCCTCTGTCACCAGGGTCTGGTTTGTACTGAGTAAGATGTGGCAGGAGAAGGGTGACCAGCATATTGAG